TTGCCAATCGGGTAAATGGGCTGGTCTGGCCACTGTGTGTTAACCATGAGCCAGGCATTGTGCTAAATGTTTTATATGCATAACTCAATTCTTGTAATAATCTCAAATGAGCATAGTAGGTACCATTACTATCTACAATTTACAGGTGAGAAAAATCAACTCAGAGAAGTTAAATTACTTGCACAAGTTCACACAGTTAATAAACACAGAAGCTAGGATTCAAATTTATGTCACTCTAATTTTGTAGCCTGGTTCTTTCCCAAAATACCATTTGCTAATCGACTAGCCAGCAAATGGTTATTCTACCTCCTCCCCTGCTCCAATCCTTGTCTATTCCTCATCGTTTTCACTTTCTGGAAGCTTCATTTTTTTCTCTGTTCGGGTCTTCTGTGAGGAGAAGCGAACTCCCTTGGGACTTGGTAACAAGCATTGAGGAGAACAAAGAATATAAGGGGCACATCTTTGGATATTCTCTGCACACGCTGGTGGGCGAGGGCCACACACATCAATGGGGGTGGTAGTAAGGATGGCTCCTGAGGAAGGTCAGTTGTTTGGGGGCCTGGTCACAAGGGCCTGCCCACGTCACATGATCTGGGGAGGGTCTTGGTACAGCTAAGCTGGTCAGGGGCTTCTGGGAAGCACAGCCTGATTCTGTCACTAACACCTAAACCAGCATCCGCAGAAAACCCTACTTCTCCTGGCCTCTCTGACCATACTGTACATGAGCTAGGGTCAGACTGTGCTCAAAGCAACCAGCACCCTGTGGGGTAGGAACACAAAGGCGAGTTGTCCAGGCCAGAGTAGGGTGAAGGGAGAGTTGCATGATGGGGGGAGATAAGGGGAGCCGAGCCCATGGACTAGATGTCCCTGCATATTGTCCCTTTCATGCCACCATTCACACCCTTCCCAGCTACACTCCAGGCTCTCACATGCCCCCTTGCATTCCAAGAGTGCTCTTTCAGCTCCCAGTGCCTGGAGCCAGCTGTCCCAGTCCTGCTGGTACAAGGGCAGACATCGCCCAGAGTCCAACATCAGATCACTAGGGCTGTGACTTGAGGGATCTGGTGGCAGTCCCAGGCACCTTCTTCTTCCCTCTCCCCCGCCCCCCATCAGCCCAGGGAGGCCCCAGACCCTGGTAGGGCGGGGGAAGGTAAAGGGAGCAGCCCCGGGGCCTGGTTCTCATTTTCTTGCCCAGAGTCTGAGCCTTTGTGGGAAACTTCTGAAGGTTATTAAACACCCGGAGGTCGTTAAATGCGCTGTTAACGAGGTATTAATCAACACCCCTCAGGAAAAAATAAAAAGACATCATTAACCCCCCCAGGAAGCGTGAGGCTGAGCATTTCAGTCTCATCTTTTGTTCATTTGGAAGAAGAAATATACTCTAGTAGGGCCAGAATCTGTGCCCAAGGAGGCCTGGGGCCCCATCTGAGGCCTGAGGCCCTGGCACAACAGAGGTGTTGGGGAGGAGGTAAGACCTCTGTGCCCTTTGACCCTAGGCTACAGAGACATCCATAAAGTGAGGGAGCAAATGTGTGAGTGTGTAAGTGTGTGTGTATCAAGGGTGAGTTTGAGAGGGGTCACAGAAGATGGATAGAGAGAGCTCACCCAGGTAGTCCCTGGAGACCAGAGCAAGGGCTGGAAGGTGCTTAGTGGAACATGCTATCCTGGGCATTTTCTATTAGAATCCACAGCACCAACTTTGGGGCTACCAGAGAGGGGGAGGGGACCTCCGGTGGCCTGAGGGAGTGGGAACTCTAAGATAGTTTTCTGGCTCCTCCCCAGTTCAGCCAACAGTCAAACGGTTTTGAAATTTTAAAATGATAAAGAGGTATTAAAACAACATTATTTTTATTTCCCTGCACACCCTCAGTGAAGCCTCTGAGCAAGAATCCCCATGGCAGGCTTTCCTGGAAGCAGAGGTGGCATTGCGAAGAGGCCAAAAAGACACTGGCCTGGGAAGCAGAGAATAAACGGGGGAGAGATCTACCCCCAAAGCAGTCCCTAAACTCACACTAAGGGACCCCTGCCTCCCTATAATGGTAGTTTTTCATCTTTCCCACAACAATAAGGACCTGGGACCTTACCCACTTTATAACACTGGTGCCCTAGGACAATTAACCTTAGTTTCTGACCCTACGAAAAGTCACACAGCCAATCCTAGACAAAACTAGTCTTGGTCTAGTAACGGAATGGGTGAAAACTATTCAGTTGTAATCTTTCTCTTTGGCGCCTTAAGCATCGGGCTGGGGGCCTAACATTAAAGTGGAAGACCATTCTGTGATGTCTATGGGGGCAGTTAGCTGGCTGCAAGAAACATCAAACCTCAAATCTGTCCAAAGGGAGTGGGGGTCTTGAATCAATTAACACTTAATGTCCTGCTAAGTCACTTAAGACCTTCTCCACTGCCTTAGAACCTGGCTGACACCCAGGGTTTCCAAAAAGCTGGGGATTTCCAAGAGCCCCAGGGAAGCGAAGAGAACAAGATTTTCCCAGTTAGAATGGCCACGTAACCAGCCTCTCACTCCCCGAAGCTCAGACACAGGGTCAGCCATGCAAACAGGCACAGCCACCCACAGCCATTGGCTCTGCCTGACCTCCTGCAACTGTTCAGGGCCCAGAACCTGGTTACAGGTGTCTGACCAGGGCTGAGGTAGTCTGTGGAGACCAGGAACCAGCAGGACTATACCTAGCTCTCTGGCCTCTCTCTCATATTCTGCAATGATCACTCAGGTCTGGGGTCCCTCCTCCTGAGGAAAGACGGGAGGGACTCCTGGGTTTCTTTTCAGTTCCGGTGCAGAAAGGCTATCTTGAATGGGCTAGGAGGTGGAAGGTGTGGGCAAGGTTCCTCCACTGGGGAGTTTGCACACACCCTATGTTCACAGGCCAAGAAGTCAGGAGTTCCCTCCTCAGACTGCTCAGACATTTGCAAGGGGAACGGTTTGTCTAATCCTAGGGCCGACTCAAGGACAGAGAGCTGGAGGAGAGGAGGAAGTGGGTGTGTTAGGGCAGTGCTGGGACTGTGAGAGGCCCACTCTCTTAGTCTAGCCTGGAGGGGACAAGGTGGGGGTCTCATCTTTCCCCTCTGCACCCCAGTGAACAGGAGAGACAGAGTCCCATTTAGTAGGAACGTGGGCATCTGGCCTTCTCAATCTTCCAGTGTCTTGGCCACATTTCCTCAGATAATGTGACTTTCAGACCCTCAGGCCCTCAGCCTGTCCTCTGAGCACTGAGCTAAGACCCTGAAGCTTCCCCAACGGTTCAAGGCCCCACTTTAAGGCCTGGAGAAACCCAGAGTCACTTCTGGGAAGGTCTATGCATTTTCTGGCTTCCTATCCAATCCCCTCCAGTTCCTCCACTGGTTTCTGGGTAGGTAGGGGGTGGGGATATTCTCTGAGAATCAAGTCAGACCCAGGGTCTCTTTCTAGCCCTTCACAACTCCATTGCTGTCACACCCCGTCTTCGAAGCCAGATAAGTCACTGGAAGTTGAGAGAAGTGGGGTTCGGTTCCATCAAGAAAGGGGGGTCATATCACTGCAGTTGGGATCCTGACTCAAGGATGACCGCTGTCCGGCATCTTGGCTTAGGGGCATTGTCCCTGGTGCTAAACACTCTAGCTATAGCCAGAAGTAGGGTCCTAAGTCCTCACGGACTCCCACCTCACGAGTTTGGGGGCTCTCTGCTCTGGCCTCTGTTGTCAGGGGATATGGTGTGCAAGTTGAGAAACCCAGGAGTCTCTCCGTAAAGGTAAGCCCACCCAGAAGTAAGAGGTAGGGTGGGGTAGTAGGAAGCAGCCATGATCTGGGTTCTGTCCCTAGCTTAACCTGGCACAGTCACTGCGGCTCCATTTCTTTACCTATAAGACTAAGGGTTCTCTTCCAGCCAGAGTGACCGGCTCTGGGCAAGTCCCGCCAGCACTCTCATCCCCACACCCCCACCCTCGTACCTGCAGCACGTTGGGGTGCCGCAGACGCTCCAGCAGCACCATCTCCTTGAGCAGCTTGTGGGCCGCCAGCCGATAGCAGCCCCTCCGTGCCCCGAACTCCCGCACGCAGCTGCCCAGATCGTGGCCACTGAAGTCCACCGCCTTGAGCGCCACCGCGGCGCCGCCGGGCAGGCGGACCCGGTACACGGCCTTGGTGTAGCCGGAGCCCACGTACTGGGCGCCGGACACGTTGCGGGCACCATCTCCTTGAGCAGCTTGTGGGCCGCCAGCCGATAGCAGCCCCTCCGTGCCCCGAACTCCCGCACGCAGCTGCCCAGATCGTGGCCACTGAAGTCCACCGCCTTGAGCGCCACCGCGGCGCCGCCGGGCAGGCGGACCCGGTACACGGCCTTGGTGTAGCCGGAGCCCACGTACTGGGCGCCGGACACGTTGCGGGGCGC